ATGAGTGTTATGGAATATACAAGTAGTAGAAACAACGGCGTGAATGGTGCTGGAAGCAGTGATGCTGAAGGTACCACGCCCGGCAGGTGTCCCATGCTATTTTTTGAGTAATCCTGTCGATGAAAATGGTAAACCAATTAGGGGTTATAGAAGAATGATGCATAATATTTGGAAGAAAAGACAAAGTTTCAATATAACTTAGCAGAGATTGTGTGACCAAGCTCGAATGATACGTAAAAATGAATGGTTAACAGCGCTAGAACTTGAAGAGATTAGGAAAAGAATGGTGAATGTAAACTTTGAAGAGGGTGTAAGCGAAGAACAAGATGTTGACGAGGCTGTTGTGGAAGGTAATAGTACAGAGGATGACCAACCTGGTTCCGTGCTGATGAATGTACAAGAACTAACTGACGAGGAAAGAGAAATTATTGAAGAAATAAGTAGTATAACTGAGCACAATCTTGACATGGAACTACAGGGGTTTAAGAAGGTGGAGAGAACATTACTCAGGAAACATGTAAAAGAGGTGAATAACGTTTTGGGAAATATTATAACAGAAAGTATATCTGGAACAAATAACTCAATAAAAGCCTGCACCATCTTGATAGGAAGAAAAGTAGGTCTCAAACCTTATCGCAAAAGGGCTAATGAAATGAAAGAACCTTGGTGGAAAAGGAGAATAAAGGTGTCAATTAAGGAAATACGTAAACACATCAATATACTCGAAAGAAAGGAAAGGGGAGATTTGAAGAGAATGGAAAAATATAAGCAACTTGAGCAGAAATATAGGATAAAGAGAAAGGGGTTAAAAGTAGTATTAGAAGAGCTGAAGCAACGATTTAAAGCAAAATCTATGAAAATTAAGAGATACGAACAGAGAATCGAGCGATACAAAATCAACAGGTTGTTCCAGCAAGACCAAAAACGGGTTTACCAACAGCTGGGTGGAAAGGTAAACAGCAATGAAAAGCCTGATGCTATTGAAAGTAAACGGTTTTGGAGTAACATTTGGGATAACAAAGTAGATCATAAAAAAGATGCTGAATGGCTGAGAGAATTACGAGCGGCTAAAGGCGATGGGAAACAAGATGATATTAGAATTACGACTGAGATGGTGATCCAGCAAACAAGAAAGATCCCAAACTGGAAATGCCCTGGACCTGATGGGGTACTAGGGTATTGGTTGAAAAGTTTCACAGCATTACATGAGAGAATTACAGATCAATTAAATGACATGATTAACAACGGAGTTGAAATTCCCAAATGGATGACCTCCGGTAAGACCGTTCTATGCCAAAAAGATCCTGGCAAAGGAAATGCTGTTGACAACTATCGGCCTATCTCTTGTTTACCTTTGATGTGGAAGCTGATGACAGGGATCATATCCAACGTTTTGTATGAATTTTTGGAGGATGCTGATAAGTTGCCAAATGAGCAGAAAGGTTGCAGGAGGAGAAGCAGAGGGACGAAGGACCAACTGCTCATCGATAAAACAGTGCTGAATGACTGTAGGAAGAGACATACCAACCTGGGAATGGCGTGGATCGATTATAAGAAAGCCTATAATATGGTCCCCCATTCCTGGATTCTCGAAAGTCTGGAACTGACAAATGTGGCTGATAATGTTATTAGTTTCATCATGAGATCTATGAGGAATTGGAATGTGGATTTGACATCGTGTGGTGAATTCTTGGGTAAGGTCAACATCAGGAGAGGGATTTTCCAAGGAGATAGTCTTTCACCTCTTTTATTTGTGATCTGTATGATTCCCCTCACAGACATATTAAGGAAAGTCCCAACGGGCTACACTCTGAAGTGTGGACTAAAGTTAAATCACTTGCTATTCATGGATGATCTTAAGATCTATGGGAAGAATGAACGTGAAATCAATGGATTGGTCTCTACTATAGAAATATTTTCAAATAACATAGGAATGGAATTTGAGGCCAAGAAGTGTGGCACACTTATTTTAAAGCGAGGAAAGGTGGTGAAAACAGATGGTTTAGAATTGCCTAGTGGTGACAAAATTAAGGAAGTTGAGGATGAAGGCTATAAATACCTTGGAATCACAGAATTCGACAAAATAAAGGATAGTGAGGTGAAAGAAAGTTTCAGGAAAGAATACCTACGTAGAGCAAAAGCTATTATGAAAAGTAGACTACATGGAAGGAATAAAATCATGGCGATGAACACATGGGCAGTGTCATTAATGAGATACGGGGCAGGTATCATTAAATGGAATGTTGCCGAGCTTGATGAGATGGACCGCAAGACTCGGAATATTATGACTATGAATAAGGAGTTTCACCCCAAGAGTGACGTTGATCGGTTATACGTAACGCGAAGTAAAGGTGGTAGAGGGCTGATAGGTTGTAAGAGCTGTGTTGTTACAGAAGAAAACAGTCTTGGTTGGTACGTACGAAACCATGATGAACCATTGCTCGTCGCAGTTAATGGTAGCAACACAATCCCACTTTGCCAAGAGTCAATGAAACCGAAC